GAACCCAATGCACCAGGTTGTACCCAAGGGTATGTCTACAAGTTGTTTCCTATCCGCTAGAATTGAGGCCTCGTTTTCTGCACCGAAATTTTTGCACGTACAGACAGTACCCTTCGAAGGGTATTTGCACTCTTCAGCAACCTTTTTGCAAATACTGCATTCTACGGAAATGACGCATATTTCGCATTTGTGCCCTCTAAATGAGCAGTGCGTTAGAGGTGGAGCTTCCTGGCGATTTCTCCGCCCGAATTGCTTCCTTCTACAGCGGGGTGCCTTGTTTCCGTCGAGACGGGGCCCCTGTTCAAAACCCTGACAAGTGGCATACGGAGGCTGCCGACGCCGGGAGTGAACGGGGTGTTCAAAGCGGTACAAGCGCTTTGTAGGGTGGAAAGTCAATTGCATCACAGAGATAAGAGACAATCTAAACCTTGTGTCCAGTTGCATCACAGAGATGTCAAGCGCAGATCTGAAGCGGGGGCCTCCATAGCAACCCTTTCCGCATCTGTTTTCCCCGTGGCCGTGGGGCTGCGCGTCATGACGCGCATGACGCGCTGCCGCACGGCAACTCTTTGGAACGGAGTCTGGGCAGCGCATGACGCGCCCGATGATGGCGACAGCCCAAGCACCGTTGCACACGCAGGGACGGGCCAGTACGTTCTGTGCGGAAGGCGTGCACGAGCTGGAGGAGGAGGCAGTTGGTGCCAACTGCCCCCGAGCCAGTTGCCAGCAACTGGCTCCTTCTTCCAAAGCTATGGCACTGAGCGGGCGCAGGATGCGGGCATGAGGGCGAACGATTGCCTGCGGAACGGCGCTGCCGGAGACAGGAAGGCTCGATTGGTACTGGATAGAGTCCAGCGGGATGAGGCGACTGTGCACGCCGGGCGCACAGTCATGCTTTCCTGAAGATATGGAAGATGACACTTCGTGGAGGGGACGGTTATCGGACCACATGCGCAAAATCATGGAGTTCTAAAAACCTCGCGTGAGATATCTACGTATTATATTCACTGTCTCATACAGAACGTCCCCCAACCAGATCCCACCCAACCGCCACCCATGTCCCACCATTGCCCACCTCATAACCAACATTCCCTTCCCGCCTTCACACCCCTAAATCCCCCGGCCCTAGCCGGACCAGCGAAATGCGTGGAATCAGGGAGGCGGAATGCAAATCGATCGTATGCATTTAATTGGTTGGATCTGTCCCGTATGGCGCCCAGTGACGTCATTTGTCGAGGGGGTTCGGACCCTGGACACCG